GGGGAGGGAGAGAGAATGAAAATGAACACTTAAGATCTGGCAGAAGTCCCTGGCATCCAAGGGAGTTATATATTTAAGGAAGCAAAGAGAGTAAACAAAGCTGGAGGCAGAAGACATTAACTCATCTTCTTGGAGATGGTAATGCTGAAGGTTAGAAACTGGTAATATTTTAAGGAGGAGATGCATCTAAATCTCGATGGCTGTACCATCCCTGATAACTGCAGTGTGTTCAATATAACTAGAGAAGGGGCAGGAGCTGCCTATGGCATTAATACCGACTATTCTTCTTTTAAGTGCAGAGCTCAAAGAAAAAGAACCTGAGTACTCTGCAAAAGGACCTGATTCAGAAAGAGAAGGAACATGCTGTCTCCTGGGCAGCAGTCATGGGGACCATCTCAGGAAGGTCGACACTGAACTGCTGGGGCCATACCACACCTCTTCTGGTAGTAGTGGTAGGTTGGGGGGTGATGGTGCTACAGCTTTGAGGAGATACCAAATTCCACTTCATTTGCTTACCAAGGCAAAGCCAAAGAATGTAGCACCGCATGAACCTCTAATAAAAAAGGCAAGCTGTCGGGAACAAGTAACACAGGCTAACTTCAGGACAGTGCAGTGCCCTTTGTGTTGTAAGTGTGCACACACGGAAACACAGTTTGGCTTTTACAAACGGAATGTAATATCCTCTTGGGGAATGTATACTACTCTGAATCAAAAACTTTTGGATTGGCTTTTATCCTTTCAAATCCTGGGGCAAAAGTCTGATCCTGAGAGTCATTATAGCTGAAAAATCAGACAAGCCTGGGTTCAAATTTGGCCTGTGGTATACTTATAAGCTCTGTGATCTTGATGAAATAAGCACAGTTCTTTGTAAGCCTTAGTTTCCTCATCTTTGAATTGGGGATCTTCATAGCTCTTTCACAGGGCTTTTGAGGGGACTAAATAATGTAATATGCTTATAGTGTCCAGCACAATGTTTGCACAAAGTAAACTCTCAACAAATGTTTGCCACATGGTAAACATCCAGAAGCTGTAAGATTATCAATGTCTACACACAAATCCTGAAATAAGCCCTATCTTTCCCATGTACATAGGAGCTTGCTGGTATGAGAAAATGGGCCACAGGCATCAGATCCTTTGAGCCTCTAGAGGAGAGCTGGGATTCTTCCTCCAGGCATCCATGACTTCTTGACTCCTATCTTAAGGAAGCTTCAAGAACACTGTGAACTCAACAGAAGACATTTGAGAAGGCGGCCAAGTATATTCCATATAATTCAGAGGGACAGGTACAGTAGGGACAGTGGTAGCTGAAGGAGGAGGCTGGCATGGGGAGGGCATCCTGAAAACATAAAAAGTGGAACAAATTTGGGGCACCTAGTTGGAGGAATTAGAAAGAGAAAATACTTTTTACCCTTCTTTCCTTTTCTGAAGGGCAAATATTGAAACCTAACATTTATGGGCCATGTTCCATGTACCTAAGACATCGATGCCATTATTCCTGCTTTCCAGGTGAGGAAAGCAAAGCTCAGGGAGGGTAATAGAGCAGAGTGGTGGTATGCGGCAGTGGACAAGAACATGGGCTGTGGAATACCTGGGTTTCATTTCTGGCTCCACCACGCATTAGCTTTGTGATCATGGATAAGGCCCTCAGTATCACCCCCACTAACCTGCACCATATGTGAAGAGTAGGGACTCCATCTGTTTTGATCACCACTGATGAACCCTTACTATTTTTCAAGGAATAAGACCAAAATAGTGCCCCGGCAGGACAGAGTTAAGAGCACTTTAAGGTGAAGTGGGGTGAATGCTACAAACAGCCTGGACAAGGTGATGTCAGTGAGATCAAGAAACAGCTTAGAGTAGACTGGATACGCAAACACACGTACTTCCTTACATGCCCCCGCTCCACTTTATTCCTGTCTCTTCCCTATCACTAGAAAATCTATAATCATCGCCCAGAGGTAATGCAGCCTGGCCTGGAATTCTCACAGCCTACAATTCTCTAGTATTTAAGTGTCCTGTTTTAGGTCTCCAGGGGTGCTAGCTACATACTGTATCACTTCTTACTGCTCTGCCTGTAATTCCCAAATATATGTTTCTCTCTATTTGGTACTGGCCCAAACCCTTTAATATTCTGAGTTATTTAAACTTCAGGTAAGTTTCTTTCTACTTTTTCTATACATGAATCTCCATCTTTTTGAATTTTTTTTGACTCATCTATATTTTTCTACTCCTACTAAATAAATTATTGTTACGAAACCAATTTACCATATAAATTACTTCAAGGGGAAGGGGGGTAATCAATTATCACATACTAGCTAGTTTTAGAAGCTTCCCATTTGTTGAAAACATTTGGAAGATCAGCAAAGGGGAGCCTAAGAGAAGGAGAAGAGAAATGAAGGCTTAATTAGCAATGTTCACAAGTGACTGAATAAAACATAAAGAGACTCTACTTTTTAGTATAAAGGTATTAAGAAGAGAAATGCTTATTCTTTTATCCAATAGTGAACATTTACTATGTCCCAGGCCCTGTGTAAGTAGCTGGAGAAATAATGCTAGTTCTGGCCCTTAAAGAACTGATAGTCCAGGGCAAGCTTTCTCAACCTCTGCACTACTGATATTTTGTGTAGAATAATTCCTTGTTTTTGGGGGTGGGGAAGGCACTGTCCTGTGTAGTGTAGGAAGTTTAGCTGCATCCCTGGACCCTACCAACTGGATGAAATAGCTTCCTGCCTCTCTTCCCAGCTGTGAAAACCAAAAATGTCTCATGTTGCCAAATATCCCTGGGGAAAAAATGCTCCCCAGCTGAGAACCACTAGTTAAGGGAAAGTAGATCACTTCTTTAATACACTGTGTTAAGCATTATTATCAAAACTGAGAGTAGAGAAAGGGCTCCTTAGTGCAGAGGGAAAGTGGGAGGTATGCCAATTAAAAAGTCACAGAACAAATTACACTTAATGCTCAGTTTCTGAAAACTCTTTAGCAGCAGGCCAAGCAGACAAGAACAAAGTCTGGGACATTTGGAATGGATAGAGAAAGACCACTCAGGTAGAGACAAGAGGATGAGCAACGGCCTAAAGAAGAGAGACCACAGAATGCTCAGCCAGCAGTAGATGGTTACATGGGGTAGAACTGGAAATGAGGCTGGAGCCAGATCATGCTAAGGAAGAAAAGAGGTGGAATAAAAATAAATAAATAAATAATAAATAAATAAATAAATAAGTATTTTAAACACAGTGGAGCTTTTTTCAAACAAAACCTCACCTGGATCCCCAGTTTCCTAATCAAAATGAAACTACTTTGATTGGATCACGGTCCACTTAGTTTTCCCCTTAGCTGCTAAGGTGGCTTCTGAAGCACCTTTGTGGAATCCTAGAATTCTAGGAAACACTGGAGAAATCACTTTTGTATGCAAAGGAGTACCACTGAAGGATATTCAGTGCAGAATATACATCCATATTTACCTTTTAAAAAAGCACTCTAGAGGCAGAACTGAGTGTGAAGCAGGAACAAGGGGGAAGTGGCACAGAAACTATTCAGCATTTTATCTGTGGGTTTCACATAGAGCCAGACTCCACGCTATAATAGGTAGGAAAAAGCACATTGGCTTTGCAGTTGTATACATCCAGCTTCAAATTCCAGGTGGGTCATTAACCATGACCTTTGGCAGGTTAGTTGACCATGCCAAGCTCTATTTTCTTATTCTGTAAAATGGGGTTATCTACTTCACTTGGTTGCTGAAAGAAACTATATGCAAATAGAAGTCAGATGCTGGCATATGAGACACACTCAGCAAATACATTCTTTCACTTAGTCTCTTTATGATTAAAGCTTATTAAGCCTCCCTGATTCTAGGTAACTTTGAGTGTGAAAGAAAGGTTTAACTGCTTATTAGTCAACAGGATTTTCTACATGTTATAGAATGGATACAGGATTCTGCTTTTAAAAGAAGTTTTTATTTTTGGAGTGCCTATTAGCATGACCCACATGCTAACAGAAGAGGTCAAGATTGGACTTCTTACTCTGTGATGTGCCAGGATGTCTCATGAGACAGAAATCAAAACAAGCGTGGCCAAATCTTGAGTACTAGGTGTGTCTGTCTGGTTCAGAGACAGTGTTCCTGGCCTTCTCCTATTTAACAAAGCTTGTATCAGTTTCATGGTTAGGAAGTCAGCAGCAAGAACCCTCATCTGTGTACAAATTTTTCGGGAGTTTCAAGTGGTATTAGGATTACAAAGCCTAAATGATAAATCCAAGTATCCTTCTATTCTTTATCATCCTATGTCAGTAGCTGCTTCTTAATTGTGAATATGTACACTCCTTTCAGAGAAAGCAATCTTTGAGAGCACCGACCTATTTTCTCTCATCTTTATTTTTATTGTCATTGGCTATATATTGTCAACTAAAAGAAGTGTCCACTGAAAAAAGGTGAAAGGTATAGGGCTTTGGGGTTTAACTGGGTGAATTGATCCCGGAGTGGAAAGAGTTCAGCACAAGTATTTTAAAATCACAGGCAGTGTCTGTAACTCAGTGGATTAGGTCAAAGTCTTACAGAAGCAGAGCCAATTCAAACTTTAGACAACCAGGTGACTGATCAAAGCTTCTGCCACTCTCTGGGCAGCCTTCATTTCTGTGCCTCTAGAACAGAGGCTCTATCTTCTACTTTGACCACAAGTGTCCTGGATGCTACCCTTTCCCTTTCTAGCAGAGATTCAGGATCACGGCCAACCCCTGTCCAATCTGAGAATCCGATATGAGGAACTCACCAGTCTTACCTCTGAATTAGGGTCCCAAAGACAAGATGAAGAACCTTCTGCATGCTTTCTGTACACAGCCATGTCCACTGTTCCATCAGCAACAAGAGGAGCAGGTCTAGGGCTGTGTCAGCTAACTCCGTCTCTGCTCCTGGAGAACAAATGGCATCAAAGGCAACTCAGGAGAGACCTGCATCTGAGGAAGCCCTTTCAGTGACTTTATCTTACTTTATATGTTTATAACCCACCAGTTCTTAAATCACGTCAAGACAGGCTTATTTCATATCCAAAAAGTTCCGTGATAGGTTCTGTTTCTTCACAATTCTTTTATGTTTCTTAGTCACTTAGTAAAAAATATTTTATCTTAAAGAGATTTTGTATATAATTATTTTGCCTAGTTCTATTTGTTTTGTATTTTCCCCAGGGAGTTGAATATATTTTGTTCCAACGAAGTGCTCACAACTGGTGACTTACTGGACCTGACAAGGCCTAGTCTCTTCCACACTTATATTCCACTTGCATCCACAAAGCATCATAGAAATCTGTGGGCAGATCTGGGAAAAGATTTGGGATTCATTCTCCTGTTAAAAAGTACTGTGAAAGCATCTCCATTACACAGAACTGTTGGGTTGGGATCCCAAAGGCTTCAGTTTGATTTTGAGGTTACCTGTGGTTCTAGGAAAAGCACTACACCTTTGGGAAAATGCCAGGACAATTACTGATTTCTTTCTTGTTTCAAAGATTGGCCACAAATGAGCTCACACCCATGCTAAACTGAAGTCTCCTGAACAGATGTGATGTATGGATGGAAGTATCTGTTCTCTAATCCTGTTCAGGGAGTCCCATGCCACCTGATTTGGCTCCTGGCAGACTTCCTCAGGATACATAATATTCTAGAATGAATCTTAGCTATCTGGTGCTATTTCCGTCATTAATATTATAATTAATCATCAACCGTAATTTTGTTAGTCTATAACCAATGGGTATTCTCTTAGCTTGCCCAAGCTCTCTTCCCTTACGGGTTCTTTAGAAACATACATAACTTCAGATTTGGATTAATCTACTAGAAGTAAAATCTACCTTCTTTTTAATCCCATCCAGTATATATTTTCTCTCTTTTGCACTGTATTTTAAGGGGCATAGGAGCTGAAGTGTTTGGTTTCTAGTCATTTACTCAAAGATGGGATATTGAGTTCCTTGAGAAATCATCATTCTGAGCCTTAGTCACCCTCCTGAATTCAATTATTTTCTCAGGTTTAGTATTTACATAAAGCTGCCACCATGTGGTGACAATTAGTCATAACAGTAAAAAAGAGAAAGAGAACAAGACACCAGGTGCTCTTGAAGAAAATGGTTAACTTTCCTATCAATGAGCATTTAGTCTTTAGGGCTAGAAGAAGGGCTCAGGCATAAGCTACTACTTTAGACTTGATCTTAGCCAAAAGGCCAAGAAATGACAAACTATTCCTTTAGAGATATGGCGCTCAAAATTTACAGGCTTGATTTGGGCTGGATTATATTGTTTTACCCATTCCTTCTTACTTATAAGTTCTTACAGTTTTCTGATGTTTTTGGTGTCAAAATAGTTCATTTATTTAACAAGTGAGATATGTGTGAAAAGATTGGGTTGTAAACTCCATGTGTCACATAGTTAAGTTGAGGGCCATTGAGCAGAGGTCAGGTGTCTGTTCATAGGCACCTGAGAAGCAATGATGAAATCAAACTTTTTATTCTCCTTCTGAACCTAAGATTTTGTGATCTTTATGTTTAGTGGGAGCCTTTATCTTGGTGGAACTGAAAACTTTTCTTCTTATAAGTTCTAGTTTAGGAAACATACTAACATCCAGGACTCTCAATTTTTCCTCTTCATTCCTCTGGGAAGCCAATCTGCCCTGCCTCAAATGCTTGTAAGGAAAGAGCAGTATCCTTGCCTCTTCTCCCTCCCTGCTCTTCCTTGGGTAACTAGGGATATTGTTTGCCATGGCAATAAATAAAAGGAATAGATCCAGGGAAAAAGATGAATTTCATTTTGCACAAGTTGTACTTCAGTCTGATGGTATGTCTCAGTGCAGATTTCCAGTAGGCAACTGGAAATACAGCATCTGATATTAGGCATCATGGCACATGTATTAGAGTTAAAGCCAACAGTACAAATGAGATCACCCAGGTGGAGTGTGCAGAGTAAAAATAGAAAGCCAACAAAAAAACTCTTGGAAGGCTTAACAAAGGAGCTAACAAACGGGACTGAGAAGGGGCCACCCAGGAAAGTGGTACCACAGGCACTAAAGGAACAGGTAAAGGGAGCAGTTCAAATGTAGGCCAAAGCATGCTAAAAAGAACTTCAACAAGGTAATGATACTATAAACACAGGTCTTATTTGCTAGATTGGAACTCCCTGTCTTTGTGCCCTGTTCCTCTGCTCAGCTTGGCTCTGGGGACTGTATCGTATTCTTTTTTGCACCCCAGCACTCAGCACAGTACCTCAAACCCTGGTGTTTAACACATGGCTTACTTAGCTGAATGGAAGAGAAATTAAAGTGATGAATCCCAACTATTGTGAGTCCCAAGTGAACTGTGCTCTGGCTCTCTTCTCTGCAGAAGCAGAGATCTTGTCACTCACCTGGATCGCTGTTGCTGAGGTCTTGGGCAGGCTCAGCTGCATCTGACAAGCAACCATCCACACATCCTTTGTGGGTATGTTCAGGATCTTTTTCTGGGACTTCTCCTGGCTGCATTTCTAATAATTTTGTTTGTTTTTCAAGAAAGGATTCCATCCCAGACATGGATAGGATCTCTGACTCCTGAAGAAAGAGCCAGAAGCACACCACATAAAGAATGCAGAAAGTAGAGGAACAACCAAAGCACTTTAGTTTTCCCCTGTTCCTTCCCTGCAGACGTATCACGAGCGTACAACTCAAGTGACTCTGTGACCACCTTAGGAAAGTTGCAAGTAAACAAATGCCTCTGTATTCCCACTTGCCACAAACACTTTTGGGCTATCTGTTTCTTCTAGGAACTGGTTTTCTTTCTCATCCTGTCATACATTATCCCATATCCATGACCCTTGAGAAGCCAACCTACCAACCCAGAACTAGCAGGAATTCCAAATGACTTATAGAAAATACTTTTATACTAAAAATTAGAGATCCAAATGTTGCTAAGTCCTTTAGGCACCTAAGTCCTTTCTGACTTTGGAGAATGTCTCAAGTGCCTGTAACTGCAGGATCAACATCTCAGCTACTAATCTCAGGAGTTCTCTAGGAGCTTCTCACCACATTGCCTTCCTGGAGACAATAGAGAATCTTCTCTTGTGCTTCAGTCATATTCAGTGCTGGAGCAATCTTACTGGATGAAAACCTTAGTCTGGACCTAGTACAGAAACAAAGAGCAGAAACAGAATGTAATTCATGATACTGATTCTTCTATAAAGGGCTGACAAGTATTAATACCTCAAAACAAATAAACCTACACTTATTCTGGGAGCTTACAGTGCTCAGAGTTGCCAGAAAGCTGGCCCTGAAATCTCCCAAATATATATTTTGGAAATTCTTAATATAAAGTGCAACTCTTGCACTAAGCTTTGTCTACAGTGCATCTATGACTGGGCTTTTGCTAATGTAAAACAGGGACCACTCTGTCACAGTCACGTTCCCAGAGGCTAGAAGGGTGGCTAGCACACACTACACATCATTAAATACCTGCTGAAGATCAGACAAGCGGCATAGGTTTTTGCTGCTGTCAGTACCTTTTTTGCACTCCACTTATCTCATTCCCATTGTGTTCCAAATTAAACCAAGGGAGGGACTGCAAGTGCTAAACCTCAGTGTTTCAAGGAACAGGATTCTCTCAGACACAGGTCTGAGGTCACCCTTCAAAGTATGGGCCCAGTCAAAAAAGGCTAAGAATTGTGTTACTGCTGGCCCAAGAAACATGAAGAGACAAAGCTAGACAGCCAGCCAGCCAGCCAGATACATGCACTCTCCACCCACCACGTTCTCTCACTCTCCATAACGGCCCAGATACAGATATGAAGTTTTCCGCAAGGGTAAATGTGGTGCCCTTCCCTTCCCTTCCACATGCTGGCTTTGAGCAGTGCCAGGAAACATCTGAGGCCCTGGTGCAGATGTCCATTCTAGCCCTTTCCTGTTTATTGCTGGTATATGCAACTTCTGAGCCAAGATTTCCAAAAATGATGGCAAACAGAAGTCAGTTATAAGCCTTAGCTCTTAATAGGAAAGAACATCTCAATTTTCCAAGAAAACAGAAACAGAGAATACCATATTCTAGAGTTTTCCTTCTAGTCATAAATCCCAGATGAGTTTGGGCCCTGGGTTCCCATAGCAAGACAAACATCCCACAGGGCTGCCTATGCAGGATCTCAGGCTCCTTTCAGTTGAGTACCGAGGAGTCTGAGGTCTGGTTTTGCATAAAAACTAGTATGACTCATCTCCTCTCTTCTAGAGCTTGAGAGCTGGGGACGGGCTTTGGTTGAGAATTGAGGATCAACCTGAGAATTGGGGAAGGGTCCCTGGGCGACTGAAGGGCCTCTCACTTGCTAGCCTTCTTGTTTTCTGACTGGGGCCTGCTTTCTGTCTCGGCCTCACTCAGCTCCTCTGTGGGGCTCTGGGGTTCAGAGCGAGGAAATGCTGTCTTCAAGGTGTCCACGATAGCATTCACCACCATCTGCAGGGGTGAGAGGTGCAAGGTCAGACAGAAACCACTGAATGAGCAGTTTTCTCATGGCACTTTATGCAATCAAGCTGGGGAGTTAGCTAGGCTATCTAGTGGTGCCCCTTATCAGCATAGTCAGATATCTGCTAATAACTTAGTGGCAACTACTCTCCCTTTTCTCTATGGCCATAAAAAGCTTCCTTCTCATAGTTAAGACAAACAAAATCATGGGGAAAGAAGCTGAAACAAACAATGGGATAAATAAAAACCTGGGAGTTCTGAAGGCTGGTGAAATACTTCTCATTTTCAATTTCTTTCTTTGTATATAAAAGAATGATTTTCAGTTTCCACATTGATATTTTCACCAAGATGTGAATAAGCAGAAATAATAAAGGTGGGGATATATGAAGAACAGAAAGAGTGAAGATTATCAAAATAAGAAATATGTCTAGAGGCATATAAAATATAAACATGTTCAGAGTAATTCACACAGAGTAAAGAGCTGGCTTAGTAAAACAATCCTCAATGAAAATAATTATCTGTTTTTCAGAATGAGAAAATGACATATAGATATTTGCTAAAAAAATGTACAAATGAAACCCTAACATACTGAAGAAACATTTCTTTTTCCTTTGGTGCCTCTCACTAATACTGCTGGCTCAGAGCAGCACCATGACTGCTTTAACTCACCCTTGTGTTAACTCTCCACAAGGAGTTAGCACAGCCAGGACATTCCAAGGCTAGAATGGTCAGGTAAGAGTACGGTAAAGCCCAGGGCACAGCAAACCAGGGAAAGAACACAGAGGGTAGCATGAATGTGCTTAATGTAGCTTAGAAAATATAACTTGCTCTCTAGGCTCACAAAATGGTAGTATGTGGGGAAGGTCCTTATCTCTTTTGTTCACTGCTGTATCATGAACAAACTATATGCTACAGTTTTGAACAGGCAAGCAGTAAGTGGGTGCTGAAAGAATCAACAAACACATGTGCAGCCCTCTCTAGTCTGCACTTCTTTCCTCACAGCAGTGAACGTCTCCTAACTCCTGCCACACGAAGTTCCAATTTATCACGTTACCCCCTAAAGTCTAGATGAGAAGAGAGAGGCCCCTCTTATGCCAATGACTCAGTGTTTTCTGACTTTTTTTAAAAAACATAAGACATCTTTTGATAAACATAAAACTCAGTCTTCTGCCTTGGGGACTATAAAATCAGTTAGTAATCACTGCTTGCAGACTCCAATGTGTTACACAAATGTCCTTCTCCTACCAGCTTCAAAGGTCCTGAGATACCCTCTTGAAGGAGGTACAAATCTCCCCACATTCNCCTACCAGCTCCAAAGGTCCTGAGATACCCTCTTGAAGGAGGTACAAATCTCCCCACATTCTGTTCCCTACAGAGAATTACTACACCAATCTAAATCCAGCTTAGTGTCCTACCTTAAGAGTTTCTTTCCTGAGTGACCAGCATTGGGAATGACTTTCATCTCCAGAAGACTTTCCTGCCCCACCTATCTATGGAGGTATAGTTCTATTCATACATGCCCCCACTAGAATAACTATGTCCCTAGGAGATATGTGTACATTATAGTGTCTAAGATATTGTACCCTCCAAATTGCTCACTGTAATTTTCAGCAAGTTGATGATCCAACCAATATCTGGGAAAAGGTCTTGAAAATTCTAGTCCATGTTCTACTGACTCCTCTGTGCTGCCTCTTGCCACCCTCCACCTCCCTTATTTTTAAAGCACTGCCTCTACTCTGATGAGAAATTTAAGGCTGAGCATAGTGGCCCTGCTGGTACCTTGTCTATTCTGGAGACCACGAACGGCTTCTTGACAAAGGCAATACGCGCATCTGTGTTCAGGGCGAGGAATTCCTGCACCTCCTCACTATTAGCGATTTCAGGAATGGCACAGAGTTGCTGCAAAAGACACAAGGAGGACTTCAAAGAGCAACTCCAGTTTCCTGGATCTCTCCACCATGACTTGGGTTTCTGGTGGGTAAAATGAGCACAGAGCAAAAACAGAAGGATGCTGACCTTTAGGAATGATTCCAGGAGGCTCTTACGGGCTTCTACTCTGTCACTATCCATGTTTCCAAATGGGAGATCTGGAAAGAGCTTTTTAGGACCCTTCACATCTTTAAAAAAAAAAAAAAAAAGTGCATTCACTTAATAGTACTTAAATAAAAAAAGACAAAACAACAACAAATAACAAAAAAACCCCACCCAGGACAGTTAAATATATTTCCCTGGGATTTTTTATTTCAGTAGTTCCAAATATGCTCCAGGGATATAATACATACAACCTACTCCCATTATTAATGTTAATATTAAGGTATAGGAGGCCATACACTACAATGGTTACAAATGAGGGCCCTAAAATCCAATTGCCCAAGTATAATTTAGGCTCCAATTCCTCCTATAATAATGACCTTAGGCAAGTTGCTTAATCTTTCTTTGACTTTGTTTCTTTTTGTAAAGCGGAGATAATGATAGTATTTATCTCATAAGCTGTTAGGAGAACTCAGTGAGCTAAATATGTGTAAAGTGTTTAGAACAGAACATGGTGTATATTTTCAAGTTTGGCTCAGTAGTAGCTATTGTTATTAAGAAAGAAAATACATAACTGAAATCCACAATTTATGCCTAAGCATGTTAAAATGTTTATTTGGGTGATCATTAGCTTTTTAAAATAAACATACTTTTTATTTAAAAAATAAATTTGCTGCTTAATAGCTTACTTTTAGAGTTAAATTTTATTACATTTTCTTATTGTCCCTGTGCCTCTAGAAGAGCCTGGTTGTTAAAGCAAAGTTGGCAAGGATTTCTGGATAATATTTTAATATTTAAGACCAATTGCTCTATGAATCTGGAAAAGTTAACTTAATTCCTCATGCTACCTCAAAGACATAAGTGAAAATGTGAAAGTTTCTTTCTTAAGCTTAAACTAAATGAGAACCCAGAACATTCAGCGGCAAAGGAGTACATCAGAAACAATGTGACCATTGCTGTCCAGAACTAAAAGTCAAGTCACCTGCATGCAAACGGGGCGAGGGGAGGTAAAGGACCCTTGATGATGCATTCTCTCCCTCATCCCTCCCCACAAACCAACAGGCCCCTAGCCTCTCAGATCAAGGTGGCTACATGTGAAAAGCAAGTAGGCAGTCCAGGGCTGGGGAAACTCCTGACTTTTGATGAACTTTCGTAGATCTGATTTCTCCTCCAGACGCGTCTGTAGATTCAGGAACTCGCGGTAGCGGCGATTAACAGTGTGGTACGCCAACTGCTGCAGGTTGCTGCTATTCTCGCTGTCAAGGGCTGTCTCATACTGTTGAATGAATAAATGTATTTACTGCATCAGCTCAATAGTCACACAGTAAGAGTAGGGGTAAGAAAGGGATCTGTTCTTCTCTTCCCACACCTACCAGATCTAATTGCTGCTCTAAGTTGTAATGAACTCAAATTCCAAGGGTGGTTGAATTAAGGAATGAGATGCATTTCCCAACATAACATGGCACAGAAAGTAAAAAATGAGTTTTATTGCTCTCTACTCCTTCCATCTCAAAGCTTTCTCCTGCAAACAATTTCACTTCTAAAAATGGGTACAAAATTATTTTTCAAATCCGAAAGAGCATAAAACAGAAGGTACAACACTGATAAAAATCATACTACCTCTTTCACCCCTCAATTATGGGGTTGGACATTATAAGGAGATAGCCATTTTGCCAATAAATTCAACCCATGATTATGTATATTAGTTGGGGGAAAAAACAATTCTTAACAGCTGATGAACAAAAATAATTTGTCTGGATGCATTAAAGGGATATGTGGTTTTGTTTTGCTCAGGGCAGATGAATTATTATTCTTGGACCTAAACTTATTTTTTTCCTAAGTACATATCATCTGTATGATTAGGAGTCATATGAAGATTGACGTTGTACGGGGTTCAAGTTTGCTCTCTTCATATGCTCGGAGGGTCAGTGTGTGGGAAAAGAGAACTTGTACTACATGATCCCCCAGAGCCAACACCCTGAATAGCATGAAAGGTGCAACTTAGTACAGGGGAAGACTTTCTGACTGAGTAGTTAAAATACAATGAAATGCTATGGAAGGACTAAGTATGTGCTTGCTCACAAGAGAAGTAGGTTACTGTTTTTTGGTTGAGGTTTTATACAATGGGCAAGTGATGGAAGAAACGATATCCTTGTTGGTGGGATTTGAGGCTGGTGTTTTAAAAATTCCTAGAGCCCGGCCGGGTGTGGCTCAGTGGCTGAGCATCGCCCTAGGATCCAGGCGATCAGGGTTCGATTCCCGGTCAGGGCACATGCCCGGGTTGCAGGCTAGCTGATCAGTGACTCTATCATCATTGATGTTTCTATCTCTCTCCCTCTCCTTTCCTCTCTCTGAGATCAATAAAGATATATTTTTAAAAAAATAAATAAGTAAAAATTCCTAGAGCCAGAGAGAGAGAGATATTATTCATTATGAGCTGACATGAACAAAGCAGTCCATCAGACCATCAAAAGGCCTAGGTAAGAAACAGTTGGAATTCTGGGTGGGGCTCTCAAACTTGGAGAACGTTGGATTATAATGCTTTCTTTGGAATATTTTACTCCTTGAGGGACACTATCAATACTTACATTCCCAAACCTGGCTGTACCTCAAAATCACTTGGGCTGCTTTTTAAATGTATATATTCTGATAGGCTCTGATATATTCTGAATGAAAATTTCCAAAACTGAGATTTAGGATTTAAAAAAAATAATACAACTCTCCAGGAGACTTGGAGGCAGCCTATCCTAAAGCCTGTTTCAGGGACCTGCTGCTCTAATTGAACCAGCCATCTGATACATAAACCCCTTTCATGTAATTTCTGCAAAGTAGTTCCCACTTCTGTACTTAAATATCTCCAGGAATGAGGAATTTACTGTCTTCTGAGATATATATAGGTAAATAACCGTCCTTCTAGAACAAAAAGATACTACTATTTAAAAAAATAAATAAATTGCCCTGGCCAGTGTGGCTCCATTGATTGGAGTGTCGTCACGTACACCAAAAGGTAGTGGGTTAAACTCCTGGTCAGGGCACATACCCAGGTTGCAGGTTTGATTCCCATTTGGGGTGTGTGAGGGAGGCAACCGATTAATATCTCTCTCTCTCCCAAATCAATTTTTTAAAAAAGTTTATAATTATTTAAAAAAAAATTTAAAAATTAGCAGGGGAAAAGTATGTAGAGAGAATTTCTAGACAAGGCTCTATACATTGGGAACCACTGAAAAATATGACCCTCAGCATCCTAGCAACCCTGAGATTCTAGGATTGTTTGTGTGGGTATTTGATAGAAGCCTACTCTGCTTTACAAACAAATTTCAGACTCACAGAAAACAAAGCAGCCTCTCTCCCTTAGAACCCTAGTTTCACTGATTGCTTTTCAAACCCATTCCAAGTCTAGAGCGGGTGACCACAGTTCCAATCCTGTTACCTTCACCGTGTAGAGTGTGTATGGGTGGAATCCGGTGCCACTGTGCTCTCGAGCAGTAATGGTGCCAGTGATACGCAGGTTCTGGATGACAACTGGGCCATCTGGACTGCTCAGGGGCTCAAAGCTGAAGGTAGCTGAGCTGAGAGGACCAGGTGGAGAGGAGGAAAGTAGATCCTGCGGCAGACTAGGATCAAGGGAGCTCACACCATTGGTAAGATCTTTCTCTAAGCATGAGGGTCGTGGTGGGCAGGTCCTTTCTGGACTCGCCAGCAAAGTTGTAGGAGAGGTGACATCTTGCTCTACCTCCTTGTCTGCTGTGTCAATCTGGATCTCTGGGCAGGAATTCAGCATGGAGTCCAGCAGGCCTGTCTCTGTTTCTGTTCCTGGACATTCCTCAGCCTCTGCTCCTTCAATTCCTTCAGATCCCTCCTCATCCTTAGGCTGCAGAGACTGGGAACCCCCTAGGGCACACAGGGCATCCTGGATTCTGTCAGACAGGTAGTTGCCTGGGGTCATGAGCATGATGGTTTCTTTGCCTAGTTCAGACAATGGAGACTCCAGCTCTGAGTCTTCACATAAGAACAGAGGGCCTCGGATGTCTGGCTGTAGGAAATGAGATGAATTGTTTCCTACTTTTCTTTCTTCTGGCACTCCACCAAAATCTCCCTCTACAGCTTCATGGCCTTCCTCAATTTCTGGGGAGGAGCGTAACAGTCCCTCCGGCTCCTCACAGTTTAGGAGCACTGGGGCTGTGGCTGGAGAAGGGGCTCTCACTTCTGGCAGACTCTGTACCTCAACAATCAGTGGCAGAGATGTGGGCACTGAGGGCTGTTCCAGGGCTCTGGCTGGGCAGAGCGATTTAACCATTCCTGCTGGAGTATCTCTGGCCTTGGAAAAAATGCTCACAAGTACAAGGTGGATCCAGTCGGGATCTGACAGCTTGCTGATCAGTGGTAAGATCACATTGCAAGTAATGAGTTCGACCACGACATGGCGTCCTGTCCGAGTCTCCAAGTGGGGCTTTGGCACTAGTCCTTGAAGCAACACATGCACGATGCTGCGTGCGTAGGCAACCTGAGCACTGGCGCTCTGGACAGCGGGATGTGGGGCGGTCGCCCTGCAGTAAGCCTCCCAGAGTTGGGCAGGCTCGACTTCACCACTGCGCTTCCCTGCCGCAGCCTCCTTTGCCTGAATATAGCTCTGCAGGTGACAACCGCAGAGAGTCAGGACCCTGTGGGCAAGAGCATGAGTGTCCACCATGCCCATCCTCCTCCGCAGCTCCTGGGCCAACCCTCTCATGGCCGCCTCCATCTCCTCCTCGAAGGCCGGCTCGTGGCTCACTGAGCGATACCAGGATGACACGAAGTCCCGGACGATCATCTGGATGGTGCGGTTGATCTCCTGTTCCAGCTGCCCCTCGGCCTCGGGGCTGGGCGAGCAGGCGGCCATCTGCACGAAGCGCTCCAGGTGCAGGCGACCCGACGCCCCCACGACGGCGTTGGAGCCCAGCCAGCCTCCCAGCAGCAGGAGCAGCGCGGACAGAAGGCAGAGGAGCCACACGTTGACCAGCAAGTGGACGACCAGGAGCCAGCCGAGCAGGGCGCCCGCGGCCACCAGCTTCCGGCTGCTCAGCAGGCCACCGTGGCCACCGCCCGACGCGCCGGCGAGGGTCTCGGGCACGGCGGCCTCCGTTTCCGCCTCCATGTTGAAAGGACAGGGGGCGCCCGACGGCCGCGCTCTCTCGGTTTCACTTCGCGGTTAGCGGAGGGGGCATAACTGTCCCGGACACTGCGGAGCCCGGTGCCACTCGGCCCGGCCGCGGCTCTGGGCCCTCGGCGTCCTAC